ACACACACACACACACACACACACACACACACACACACACACACACACATACACACACACACACACACATATATATTGATCGCTGTAGTGGCTCAATGCTGACTGAATCTACATTAGCATTAGCATTAGCATGTGTCATGCAATACCTGTGTTTGACATCCTGCAGGTAGTGGACGGTTTCGTCCAGAGACGTCTTCAGAGCCTCCTCACTGCTCCCCTGACGGAGTCCACACAACAGGTGGTCCAGACGCACTTTCATGCTCTGATGAATAACAGCAAAGCATCAAGGGAGAGACTCACCTGTGTGTGTTGTAGAGGCGAGACTCACCTGTGTGTGTCGTAGAGGTGAGACTCACCTGTGTGTGTTTCTGCTGAGACTGTCTGAGGTCGTCCAGGTGTTGTTCTAGTTCTTCTCGTCTCCTCTCTAACCTGTGGCTGTGCGTCTCCCATAGTAATGCTGCTCCTCGCATCACAACAAACACACACCTGGTGAGACCGAGAGCACAACGGGCCTTAGACTCACAGCACCGCTGCAGACAGGTGGACAGGGAGAGAAAGACAGGTGGATCAGGTCAAATGTATTGTCACTCAGACGTGTCTCAGTGAGGTTTGTGGGACTGACATCTACAGCAGCTAATCGCTCCTCTTCTTCACTCTGGCTTTGTCCAATCACAGTGAGGAGCTGAGAGCCGGCGACGTCGTTCACCTCGTCATGGGACAGCTGCAGAGCTGAGAGCTCCTTCTGTTGATCAATGATCAATAATCAATAATGAGGATCAATGTTCGATCCTCGTCATGTCTGTTATCCTTTCTAAATCAGATTATCTTTTAATTTCACCTTTTAATAAAAACTGATTTATATTTGGAAGAAAATTAATATTAACGTAATGATTTCACCTAACAGAGCTCAACTTCAGCCAGTCGATCAGACCACGACTGTTCATGATGGAGACGAAGATGAAGGAGGAAGTGAGTGTGAAGATCATCTGAACACACACAGACACATGTACACAGACACACACACACACACATACATATACACACGCACACGCACACACACATGCACCAACAAGACACACACATACCAAAGAGACACACACATACACACACACACACACACCAAAGAGACACACACACATACACACACACACAGAAACATGTACACACACAGACACACACACACACACACACACACACACACACCAAAGAGAGACACACACACACATGCACCAAAAAGACGCACACATACACACACACACACCAAAGAGACACACACACACACATACACACACACATACACACCAAAGAGACACACACACATATACACAATGATGATGTCATTAAAAGAGCTCAAACAACGTTAAAACTGAAATATTAGGTTTCATGTATTTGGGAGGACGTTTACCGATCTGTTGATTGATGGCCGTCAGCCGGTCGAACCAATCAGAGACCAGAGCAGTGGAGCAGAAGGGCGGGACCAGCGAGCTGAAACAGAGACACTGATTGGACGTGTGAGCCGGATGTTTTCCTCGACCTGATCGTTGTTACGGAGCGATGTTGTTACCTGATGTGATCGATGACGTCATCACGTTGTTTGGTCAGACCTGAGACCAGCTGACCTGAGACCAGCTGACCTGAGACCAGCTGACCTGAGACCAGCTGCTGCTCCTCATCTCTGCTGCAGAGACTCCTACAACACAAGTACTGCTGATACTGAACCAGTTTGTACAAATATTGCTGATAGAGCTGCTAAAAACTGCACTACGAGTATTTTACACTATTGCACCCCCCCTCACCTGAAGCCTCACCTCACGACCCTCCCGACCCTGGTCCTCCTCCAGAGGCTCAGGTGCTCCTCCCACTGCAGACGGAGCAGATACTCCTGCTGCAGGTTCTCCTCCTGGAGGAGCAGCAGCAGACGTGCAGCGCTGCGACGGTTCACCAGGAGAGACTGGTTCAACATCTGGAGACACAGACAGAGAGGAGGTCAGAGGTCAGAGGGTTACCATGGCCTCGGTGGGGATCAGTCTGTAGACGTCAGGTGGAGGCAGGAAGCTGATGTTCTCCAGCAGGTAGAGGTACTTCCTGAGGATGACTCTGATCTACATGGGACACACACATATATATATACACAGTATATACAGTATATATATATACACAGTATATATATATATATATATATATATATATA